GACAAATAAAAAATTAAAATGAATATGTTTTCTTTTTAATTACCACATCGGCACCAGTGATCCACCTATCTGTAAAAGAATAAATGGTAAGAAACATCAAGTAGATTTCTATCTATTTACCTATTCTAATGGCACCAGTATATTTATAAATCACTTCCAAGAAACACTTTCGTAATTATGAAGCGATTTCGAACAAACTTTAAGGGTTGGTGTAGCTCTTAAATATCTCGCTCAAGTTTATAAATCAGCCAATTCCGTCATATTGGCACAAAATGGCGGAAAGAAATCTAGCTACACCTGATCGTCCGAGCCGAAGGGGATTTTTGTATTAAAAATCGGGTCTATCCTCTTTATAATTATCTTAATATTACAAACGGCTTTTTAGATAGGATTGTCGCGTTCCATCTTACCATGGATTTGATAGTAAACTTTTATCTTGATTTTAGGTTTAATTGCACCAATTGTTGGTTAGAGGCTGTTCCATGTTTTGAAGGTGTGTTTCGAAAGTCTAGAAAGGCGAGTTAGTGTAGGTAACTGAACTACGCTCCATCGTTTGGCTAAATTAGTGTCATCATCCACTCCTACTATAGGTACTCTTAACTGACACTGTTTTCGGCAATCGAATACTACGCTACCACAGATTGGTTGTTTGACGATAAAAACATTAAAAATCAAGATTTTTATACAGTAATTTCATTCTAGATAGCTTGTTAAATAGAACTCAAAGTAGTTTCAAAGGTACTACCAGACAAAGTTTTTATAATTTTGAAGGGGACGGGATCTCTTAAGACAGGCGAGACTACTCGCATTAGCACACCTTTTTTTCACGAATTAAAGGAATCGTTAAAAACAACGCCCTCGTATCATCTCTATTGCGATGAGATCGAATCTTACAACTTGACAGTTTTTAGTAGTACAGAACACATCCTGATTACCATGCTTCGGAGGGTATGTAAAGGCGGCGGGTCTCGGGGGCAGTGTACCATGACTGTCGTTAGGTCACACAGGCGGTTGTTGATGCGATCTAAAAACTTCTGTACGTCGGAAGTGTCACCATAAATAAATAAATAACTGTGCAATTGGACAGCTTAGTGAAAGTTCGTCAATAAAGTCGCTCAAAAATGACATCAGACATCAATAAAGTAAATTTTAGTTTGAAATAAAAATAAAACCGCAGGTACGTTTTGATGCCATGGTCTGTGCTCGTCATACGGAAGCAGTTCTTCTGATACGACTAGCACTACACGATGGCTCTAATCGGGGGAAGATCAGGAATTGTTTCATAATGCGATATGCGTTCCTTCTTCATTAAATCTTTTTTTCAACATATTTATTGAAATACTTGTCCTTAGAGTATTTTTACCGTGGCTGCTGATTTTAATGGTCGTTTCCAAAGTCTCTCAGCGAATATAATCTGCATAAAAAATAACCCACTTAACGTATAGAAGGTCATTTATCTCGGGCTTAATGCCTTCTCACTCGATTGGTATGATGGTAACTAACTGTAATATTGAAGGTCTCTAACGTGAAGGGGTCGTTCCTTTACTTGACGAATGGTTCAATCATCCCTGTAATAAACGAACCGCTGGTTTACCATGCCCTGTTCATAAGTTAAATCAGTCCATAACAAGTCGGGTTCGATTCCCCATGCAAAACATTCACTGACAAACTGGTTAAAATCTCCTCGCATTGACTCATTTTTACGATTGATTGATTAACCTCTACAACGAGTGTTTGATATTCATGGGCGATACTAAAATTGCCAAATTTTACGACGAAGCAGGTTAAATCAGATTTGGCTATAATAGGTCAACATACGCTCGTATATCACACACCTAAATAGTAACTATATTCTGCGTGTATCGCAAGAGGCGATCCGTCTGATTTAAAGTGAGGTGTTTCTGTTTAAACCCATCTGTGCGAGGAAATAGATCAGTTGTCTTGGAATACTCGACCTTTAAATCCGAACACGCGCGCTTAATTGAATGCGATCCCAGTAACCTGAACACAAATCGAACACGATTGGACCCACAGCCCAAGCCTAATTGCGAACTCCACAAATGCGAATCGTACTCAAACTCGAACCGAACCGGAATAACTTCGATGCGGTTTGAGATCCATCGCGTTCATGGATGCCCGTATGAACGGGGAGGAAAATGATTGACAATGGAAATAGCTCCATTGAATGGGGCCTTCTTTTTTTTTTAGTAAACAGAAGGTTATTCCGCTAGTGGTGACTGAGCGTCACTGATCTGTGTTAATGATTGATTATAGATTTCGAGAGACACAGAAGATCAAACGTATACACTGGTAAACAAATAAAGTAGTATAGAACTGAACAGGTAAACAGATAAACAGGTAAACAGCTATAACAGCAACAGCTTTATTTAAAAACAGATAGTGTTTACCTGTTTATCTGTTTACCTGTTGATCTGTTTACCTGTTTATCTGTTTACCTGTTGATCTGTTTACCTGTTTATCTGTTTACCTGTTGATTTGTTTACCTGTTTATCTGTTTACCTGTTCAGTTCTATACTACTTTATCTGTTTACCAGTGTATACGTTTGATCTTCTGTGTCTCTCGAAATCTATAATCAATCATTAACACAGATCAGTGACGCTCAGTCACCACTAGCGGAATAACCTTCTGTTTACTAAAAAAAAAAGAAGGCCCCATTCAATGGAGCTATTTCCATTGTCAATCATTTTCCTCCCCGTTCATACGGGCATCCATGAACGCGATGGATCTCAAACCGCATCGAAGTTATTCCGGTTCGGTTCGAGTTTGAGTACGATTCGCATTTGTGGAGTTCGCAATTAGGCTTGGGCTGTGGGTCCAATCGTGTTCGATTTGTGTTCAGGTTACTGGGATCGCATTCAATTAAGCGCGCGTGTTCGGATTTAAAGGTCGAGTATTCCAAGACAACTGATCTATTTCCTCGCACAGATGGGTTTAAACAGAAACACCTCACTTTAAATCAGACGGATCGCCTCTTGCGATACACGCAGAATATAGTTACTATTTAGGTGTGTGATATACGAGCGTATGTTGACCTATTATAGCCAAATCTGATTTAACCTGCTTCGTCGTAAAATTTGGCAATTTTAGTATCGCCCATGAATATCAAACACTCGTTGTAGAGGTTAATCAATCAATCGTAAAAATGAGTCAATGCGAGGAGATTTTAACCAGTTTGTCAGTGAATGTTTTGCATGGGGAATCGAACCCGACTTGTTATGGACTGATTTAACTTATGAACAGGGCATGGTAAACCAGCGGTTCGTTTATTACAGGGATGATTGAACCATTCGTCAAGTAAAGGAACGACCCCTTCACGTTAGAGACCTTCAATATTACAGTTAGTTACCATCATACCAATCGAGTGAGAAGGCATTAAGCCCGAGATAAATGACCTTCTATACGTTAAGTGGGTTATTTTTTATGCAGATTATATTCGCTGAGAGACTTTGGAAACGACCATTAAAATCAGCAGCCACGGTAAAAATACTCTAAGGACAAGTATTTCAATAAATATGTTGAAAAAAAGATTTAATGAAGGAGGAACGCATATCGCATTATGAAACAATTCCTGATCTTCCCCCGATTAGAGCCATCGTGTAGTGCTAGTCGTATCAGAAGAACTGCTTCCGTATGACGAGCACAGACCATGGCATCAAAACGTACCTGCGGTTTTATTTTTATTTCAAACTAAAATTTACTTTATTGATGTCTGATGTCATTTTTGAGCGACTTTATTGACGAACTTTCACTAAGCTGTCCAATTGCACAGTTATTTATTTATTTATGGTGACACTTCCGACGTACAGAAGTTTTTAGATCGCATCAACAACCGCCTGTGTGACCTAACGACAGTCATGGTACACTGCCCCCGAGACCCGCCGCCTTTACATACCCTCCGAAGCATGGTAATCAGGATGTGTTCTGTACTACTAAAAACTGTCAAGTTGTAAGATTCGATCTCATCGCAATAGAGATGATACGAGGGCGTTGTTTTTAACGATTCCTTTAATTCGTGAAAAAAAGGTGTGCTAATGCGAGTAGTCTCGCCTGTCTTAAGAGATCCCGTCCCCTTCAAAATTATAAAAACTTTGTCTGGTAGTACCTTTGAAACTACTTTGAGTTCTATTTAACAAGCTATCTAGAATGAAATTACTGTATAAAAATCTTGATTTTTAATGTTTTTATCGTCAAACAACCAATCTGTGGTAGCGTAGTATTCGATTGCCGAAAACAGTGTCAGTTAAGAGTACCTATAGTAGGAGTGGATGATGACACTAATTTAGCCAAACGATGGAGCGTAGTTCAGTTACCTACACTAACTCGCCTTTCTAGACTTTCGAAACACACCTTCAAAACATGGAACAGCCTCTAACCAACAATTGGTGCAATTAAACCTAAAATCAAGATAAAAGTTTACTATCAAATCCATGGTAAGATGGAACGCGACAATCCTATCTAAAAAGCCGTTTGTAATATTAAGATAATTATAAAGAGGATAGACCCGATTTTTAATACAAAAATCCCCTTCGGCTCGGACGATCAGGTGTAGCTAGATTTCTTTCCGCCATTTTGTGCCAATATGACGGAATTGGCTGATTTATAAACTTGAGCGAGATATTTAAGAGCTACACCAACCCTTAAAGTTTGTTCGAAATCGCTTCATAATTACGAAAGTGTTTCTTGGAAGTGATTTATAAATATACTGGTGCCATTAGAATAGGTAAATAGATAGAAATCTACTTGATGTTTCTTACCATTTATTCTTTTACAGATAGGTGGATCACTGGTGCCGATGTGGTAATTAAAAAGAAAACATATTCATTTAAATTTTTTATTTGTCTTGTAAACGTTCATCAAATATAAACAACGGAATTTCGCTAATTATTATATAAAGTAGGTATCACCTAACTAGTTTATTATAAAATGCGTAAGTATCACAAATTCTATACTGGTACACTAATTTGACAAACTTTTCCTCTCATTGTTCTTGGAGACACATAGTTGCTTCGGCGAATGATGATTCGCGATTGTCATTGTCTTCACCTTCTTCCGTTTTAAATTTTTTATATCCATAGGGATACGACTCGTAACTGATGAAACGCCTTTTCAATAGATTCGGTCGGAATATTTTCTCTCTTTGGACGGTTAAAACCAGATGTTCTGCGGTTCTTTCAAAATTCTTATACAATATCTTCTGAGGTGGCTCTTCGTTAATTATCATGTTTTTCATGGTGTCGAAGTTTACGAGTTTTGATACTTCATGGTTAATTGATATACCTTTTACCTTACACGATTGAAAACATTTGTCTTGGGTAGGAGAGTAGACCACAAACCCATAATTTTTTGGACCACCCGACGCAAACTCGGTGATGTAGCTTCCTGGTCCGTAACACTCCAGTTCGTTGGTCATGTCACCAAGGCTGTCGCCTGTTTCGGGCTCATATTCGCCTTCTCGTGAAATATAAATAACACTATCGGTATCAAAATACAATACCCTTTCCCCTAATTGATCCAAGTATGAGTACAATTTTAAACGGGCTTGTGCTGTGACGTACGCTGCAATTGAAACGTTAACGGTAGTTAAAGGAGTATACGATTCCTCTTTGTATTTATAATTCACTACCAATGTTTCATCGTTTATTGGTAAAATACCAACAACTTCAATTGCTGGATCAAATAATAGCGAATACAGTTCGGTCGACTGCTTAACAATTTTTGTCTTCGCTTGATTTTCCCGTTGCCCAAATTTACCAAAAAATGAATTTAAAATAAGTTTTGCCAATGAGCGCAGACCTGGGTTAGTTACAATACTATCAAAATCCAAATGAATTCCTTCTTTTTCAAAAAATTGAGCAATATAAGCAATTTTCTGTTCGAAAGTTTTACAGTTTGATGGCCATCCACTCGCTTCCTGTTTAATTTTGATAAATTTATTCATCATTTCTGTAAATAATCCCGCTGATTTCCCATCATATTGTTCGGTTTTATAATCCCAAACTTCGTAGATTTGTAGAACTTGATACCCCTTTTCTAAAGCTTTAACAAGTTCGTCAACAACCCACGTTCCCACAATGGCCCTCTCCTCCGTATTGTGACAACATTCCCCCTGATTGAAGCTCTTTGCGCATGAGAAACACAGAGGGAACATTAATTTTTTATTTAGTTTTATCGGAAGTACCGGGTGAAATAAATTTTGCGAAGGTAATACCTTACATTTAATGATGCCGTCTACTTTGGTAACATCTAGATCGATCAAGTCATTCGAGAGTAAAACTTTAGGGTGCCCTATCGGAAATTTTCCATACTTACAAACCCAAGGGTACAATGAACAGATATCAATGTATTTTATTTTTTCCCCTTCTTTCGCTTTGTAATAAGACTTGATGTTTCCGGTTCGGCCCCCATAAAAACTATCTCACGTATTTAAAGGCGCAAAATTGATCAGTGGGTGGTCAGATATGTACTGTGCCATATCCGAGTTTTTCTCTTGATTAAATTCGCATTCCCACTTTACTATCACCTCGTAACCTAATTGATTTAAATGAACGATCTTCGAACGGGTATTTTCATATCTTAGATTCATGGTTTCGTCGCCGTTATTATATACTGGTTTATCACGATCATTTTTAAAACATTTTGTGCATCCGTGGTAGAAACACCCCATCATTTCGAAGACTTGATTGGTTTCTGCGCAATACCCATCGACGGACAAACCACCTAGTACCATTTCTTTCCCTTTAGCTGCGTGCAATATGTTAATGCCCCTTACTTTTTCCTCCCATATTAACCACTCAATTGCTATTTTTGATTGCTTATCTCGATAACGATACCCGTGTCGAGGAATCAAACCGATAGTATCCGGTTTCAAAAAGTTTCGACGAAACAGTTTATTACAAGAACTGGCAATAGTGCAAGCTTCTGAAAATGGGCACACGTTCCCCGCTTTAATTAATGATTCTCTAAACTTTAAACAGGCCAGTGTTAAAATATCTACGTCTAATACGCAGTATGTCACAATTTCTTTTTGCATGTCAAACACTTTGTCTTTGTTTTCATTATACCAAAGAATGAACTTTTCTCGGTCGTCTGCCATCATTGTATTTGGGCCATAGTACCCCATATCGGGATAAGGTCCTATATAATTTTGATTTTCAAGCGTATTAAAATGGTATGGGAAATAGCCTTTTCGAAAATTATCTTTCAATCCAAACGCTTTGGGTAGTTTCGCTAGAGCCATTGGAAAATAGTTCAAGGAGTCCAAAAATGTGACATTATCGATATACATAGAAATAATTTTAGATCCCCGCATAATCATCTCAGGTTTAAATTTAGTTTTGGTTAAAATGTAATTTAAAATAAATTGATGATCATACGCTTGCCCATTATGAGCCAAAACGATTACGCGTTTGAATCTTTTTTTTATCTCTAGAATGTAATGAACAAATCTTTCAATAACATCGGAAAATTTTAGGATCTGCCGTCGAACGGCACAGTTATTGCAGATAATCTTTTCCTTTGGTTAAAAACGCACAAATTTGGCTCGTGTAAAGTTTTCAACTCGCTAAATTTTTTGTCTTGCGTACATTCAAGGTCATAGAAAATGAATAAAAAATCTTTTAAATTAGGTGATGAATTATCTACAGGCATATAACAAAGATGATCATCTGGCCGACTTTTCTTGCATGTTTTACAGTAATATGAGTTACATTTGTGGTCCGTCCATTTTCGAACTGTTTTGTAACAGGTTTTACACTTAAATATTTTTTCGCAAATTGTTTTATGCTCTTTATGCCCTAATTCTTTGTGTTTATCAAAACATGTTTTAGAGACAAAATATCTGCAACAGTCTGGGCAATTTATTGCCTGACCACGATCGCATGGAGGAGAATGTTTGCACGATGAACAAACACCAACACACTTGTGATCGAATTTATTGTTATAGCCCACGTGACACTTGTCGCAAAAATACACGCACGCAAAAGCAGCCGTTAGTGAGGTTATTACATTGTAATGATTATTATAGTACAACAAATTAATTTTTAGCGTTGCCTCAGAATCACCCTCGAAAATAAGATCGCGCCCTTTGGACCCATAGTTGTAAACAACAATTTTAAAATTATTTAGATGCGACTGAAACTTTTCTAATTCGGGTAAACCCGCCCCGTTTCTTCCAATCTCAATGTCGGCTTCTTGCATTAATTGTTTTGCTTTCTTATATTGAATTTGTGCTATATCCTTTCGTATATTTTGATAATCAGGATCATCAGTTGTATTGGCTATAGCAACAACAAGAGCTCGAGGTAAACATAAATTATCTACATTTTTTATGTAAACAATACCTCGCCTTGCTTTACACTCCTCCTCGAAACCTATGTATTTGCTACAAGCTGATCTCCCCCTGCCTAATGGGGTACGGACAATGGTCGCCTCCAAACAAAAAGTTTCTGTGCTCAATCCGTCCGAATTTGATTGATATATAGACGAAATTAGCTCCCATATGTCTTCAAAATATACTGAATCAGCGCGTTGGAACTTCAAATAACCCCCTCCTCGCGAAAATTTTTTAGAACAAAAAGTAAATCCTACCATGTCTTCAGCCGAAACCTTATTACATGCATACGTGATTATTTGCCTGATCGCGTTCTTAATCCATAATATGCTATTTTCGTTAGGTGGTATTTGTTTTAACCTAAACTGAATAGATCGTCCTTTTAAACCAAATCGTTTGACGTTCTTTTCAAACTCACTCTCAATTACAAACTTGCGCATAATTAGATTATTTTTGGAAGTAATGTAGCAGAGGAGTATTTCTTGTAGAGTGTGTACCTAAGTGATCTTGTTTTTCACCGATACTAGGTACCTTACGCCAAAATAATTTTAACACGGAAGAATAGAAACAACTAAGGTATCGCTTGATGGGTGAAGATGTATTTCGTTCTGGGAAAGATATATTATTCCTTGATGAGTAAGTTTATCAATCAGTATTGTAAAAAATGCCGATTATATCGTCAAGTCAGTCAGTCACACGCGGGATTCAATCGACTACTGAATAAAAATGTTGACAAGTTGGATTTTATACTGAAAAATCACGTGTTCGTAGGCACTGCCGAATAATTTCGTGTAATTTATAAGTAAAACGTGTATGGCTTATTCGAGATATAGGTTTCTTATTTTTGAATAATTCCACACGCACTACGATTAACCAGGATGCATATGCCCGTGATCTACCAAATACTTTTAATGGTACAAACAATCTCAGTTTTTAACAAAACCAGGCTCCTTGAGCTGTAGATGCGTACTAAATCTAAAACGGAATGCGAAGTTTCCCAGAGTTGTAAAAAAGTGATGCAATATAATTTTACACGTTGTGCAATTTTGCTTAATGATAAGAGATTTGATTAATTAGTCATAAACACTTCCAGGTGCAATAAGCTACTGTGAGAAATTGATTTTTTTAGTAATTCTTTACACACTAAGAATTAAGTAGAGGTAGGGCGTATAAGCCGTGTGATCCGAAGAATAATTTGTAATAGAACGTGGATAGCTGAAACAAAACACAGCAACACCTTGCAGTTAAGCTGCACTTGCGTACTAAAGGGAATGCGACGTTTCAGATTGTAAAAACTGACGCAATAATTAACTCGATTGTTCAATTTTTCGTAATAGTAATTGATTTGATTGAATTTTTAATTACAGCCGTTCAGGGTAGTAAGAGTAACCCAATTATAAATTTGTTACTACACTTTATCGTCGACTAAATGCACTTATGCAGCTGGGAGGTGTAAAAGTAACATCCGTCACTCACTTGAGCTTGGTATGAAACTGTCTGGAATTGTGAAAACGTTGAGCTTTTATAGAAACCGAATAATCACGTGATTGGATTAAAGTCGATACTACTTCGACAAGACTTTAAATTTCAATGAAAATTGGTTAGGCAATTGATGGAAGACAAAGCACACCTTCTAATCTGTAATTTTTCGCTACTCGTACGGAGACGTTAACAAAGAAACAGAAGAACCACCTCCACTAACGTTCAAGCGGATACTGACTGACGTAGTAGGATAAATGCAATTTTATTACAGCTGTCACTCGAAGATGATGCAATGTTAGGTAATTTTTATATTCTATAAATAAATGCATTCCTCTGCAGGTGATTTCCATAATAGGATCAACTTCAAATTTCGACGCGCTCTGGCAAAAACCCCCTTAAATTTCCGCGCTGACACCGTAAGAGATACCTAGCCTACTTGCCAAAATACATGAACTATGGAGGCGATTAACATGAAACATGTAAACCGGGTATAACGAGACAGCGTTCCAATATCGGAAATCTGAGTGCAGAGTGTCTGCTCTAAGCACCCGAAACAACCCCCAAAATATGATTCGCACCCTTGGCCAACTAGCAAAATACCTTCTCTCCATGATGCCTTCACTCGAACTGGCCGAAGGTCAGACAACAAGACGTCGTAGATACCTAAAGCGCACGTGCGCGATAACCTCACTGTCTGGCGCGTCACGTGACTGTCTGGCACAAGTGACCCTCTATCTACTTGAGGCAATGCCGACAACGATGCCAGTGATTACTGAAACGATTCCACAATCGACATCACCGACTGCCGATATCAAATTCCAATTAGAGCAAATGCAACAAGCTATGCAGGATTTGGAAACACGCTTCGAACTGGCTTTGCGTATTAGAGAAAGAACCATCGACAATCTACAAAATCGTCTGCGTCAATTCAAGAGTTCCGAAACAGATTTAGTTCATGAAAAAGATGCAGAGATTGAAAATTCAGTTGGCACTACACGACAGGACGTCGATAATTCTGTCTCATTTCCAAAGTTAATTCCTCAGATGACGACGAATACCTCACTAGCTTCGTCAGCGTTAACAGAACTGGCGAATACGGCGTTTTCCGCACGACAACAGGCACCAAATTCATCGAAAGAGGAAACGCAAATTAGTCACATAGAATCGACAAGTAAGGGTCATTTCGCACCAAGCCAGTCCAGTCCAGTCGCGTCCAGTCAAGTCTTGTCCAGTCAAGTCACGTCAATATTTCCTTTCACACTGAATACGTCGCGTCAGTTTTGTGGCGAAGTTGTGTCAAGATGGACGTACTTCTCCAAGGCATAATTTTACGTAGGCTACACAGAAGAAGAAGAAGGGTAAAGAAACGACGAAATCTGTTTTGGATTCATCCCATACATACCAGGAGACCAGTGTTCGGTTCTTTTAACCATTTATTTCCCGACTTACTAAATGACCCCAAAAAATTTTACAACTACTTTCGTATGAGCCCAGATTTGTTTTTTCAACTAAGAAATTTGATCGCTGAACGGATTCGAAAAGAAAATACCAACTACAGAGCTGCCATTTCCCCAGAAGAAAGACTAGCCGTTTTCCTGAGGTAAGGAAACCGTTTCAAATAAAGCAAATTTTTTTGCAAATGTTTAATATGTTTATAAAGAAAAAACAACATTCTTACAAATACACCAAGATTCTTAAAAATGAAATATAACTATTTAAAAGTATGCAGTACATACGACTCCAAAGTATTTGTGGGTGTAATGTCATCAGCCAGTTCTTCTAGCGAATGTGCACTACTAGCGGAATAATGGGAAAATGTAGAAGCAGCGACTGATGGTGGATTCGATTGAGAACGTATCTTTGTCTGTAATAAATTAATGACTTCGCCTTTAAATTCTAAATTTTCGAGAGGTCCAAGTTGTTTCATGGATGGAAGTAAACTTCGTAGAAACAATAAGTCCGGATCTTGGTCATCTTTCGCGTTATCCGAAATTGCCTGTAGGTGTTTAAGGTATTGCCTATCAATTTCATTTTCGGTATCAATTTTTTTCTTTTGTCTTTTCCCCCGAAGTAGTAAGTCATCAGAACGTGTGGAACCACTTGGCGAACGAATGTCTGGATACGTCTCCTGACGATCCCCCTGTGTCTCGCGTTGAACGTCTTGCATTGCATTTTCCGTTTCATTTGTCTGAATTTGTCGTTTCCTTCGAGTGAGTGAGCCAAAAGCAGGAGTAGCGCAACTTGATGTACGAATGACGTCGTATGCCTGCTGATGAAAGTCTTCTTCAAGCGCTCGTGGCGAGTCTGGGGGCGACTGTTGGCTTTCTTCTTGAAGCTCATCTTGCGACTCAATGTGACCCTCAGAAGTGTCATCAGTATTGGCAGTGACGGATTCCGGAACGTTTCCCGACGTTGCTTTATGTTTTAATGTAGGATCCAAAAACCACAGGAACTTAAAATACGGCCATGTTATTTTCGGGACACTGTTTGTAGCGGCCCCAGAAGGGACACTTTTCAGTTTTCGTTTTTCTCGCATGTAATTGCTTCGTAAATTTTGCCATTTTGCCTTGACCTCTGCGTCTGAAACCAAAAACAGGAATAGGATTGTTTATTTGGGCAGACAATTCATTCAAGGAAACATATCTATCGTAAAACAGCAACTCAATAAATATATGTTGTGTACCTCTTGTGTTGTAGGTATCTGGCAACAGGAGAATCGTTTACATCCCTCAGCTATACCTTTCGGATGGGAATCAGTACTATTCATTATGTAGTGAAAGAACTGAATGAAGTAGTTTGGACTATTTTGCAACCGTTGTATATGCCTGTGCCTACAGCAGAGAAATGGAGAGACGTTGCGCAATCATTTTATACAATTTGCCAAATGCCGAACTGCGTCGGGAGTATCGATGGTAAACACTGCCGAATAAAGTGTCCGCCAAACGCTGGTTCTCAGTTTTACAATTACAAACATTTTCATTCTGTGGTTTTAATGGCTGTCGCCGATGCAAAAAGCAATTTCATTTTGATCGACGTAGGAGCGTATGGTAGAGACAACGATAGCACAGTTTTCTCAGAATCTACAATGGGAAGAGCATTTAAAGCCAACGCACTAAACATCCCTGGCTCTCAAGAAATTATTAATACTGATATTAATATGCCTTTTTATTTAGTAGGCGACGAGGCATTTCCTTTGAGTGAAAACTTAATGAGACCTTATGCTCGTAGGCAGTTAAATTTTGCCAACAGAATATTCAACTATCGGTTGTCCAGAGCACGACGAACGGTAGAGTGTGCGTTTGGCATATTAACTAAAAAATTTGGTATATTTCAAAAAGCTATCGAAACTGATATACAGTTAACCGAAGGCTCAATTAAAAGTGCTTGCGTAATACACAATTTTGTACGTCAAACTCAAAACGAAAGTGACAAATCTCTGGAAACTGAGTTTTTGGAACAAAATTCCAATAATCTTCAACTTCAGTCGTTGAGACCTACAAGTACTCACAGAGCAAATACAAAGGCGCTGCAGGTCCGAGAAAAATTAACAGAGTATTTTATGTCTCCAGGAGGTTCTGTACCATGGCAAAACGAAAAATGTCGGGATGTTATTTAGACTTTATAGATCTATATCTTTGTTTCATGAAAATATACTGCAATAAATACCTACTTACCAGTTGTGTTTAATTCTCTGGCTATGCCTCTCCACACGGCAGCAATGAAATCACGATCTCTGTGCTTCGGGTGTTTAGGATCGTAGATTGCCTCTTTTGCTTGCACTAATGAAATCAAGGTTTCCACATCCATTCTGAAGTGCACGACTGTCAAGACTGGCATTAAAAATTCAACCGGCTGAGTCGCAATCAGTCTTGACAAGTCTTGACGCGATCGGACTGGACGTGACGCGCTTAGTATGAAACCAGATCTATACATTGCCCTTATTTCAACGATAAATTAATATTTGCAATCCAGTAGCGTCCGACTTGACTGGACGCGACTGGACTGGACTGGCTTGGTGCGAAATGACCCTAAGCGACCACGAATTCAGCCAATCTGGACCTCCAACCCAGCATTATGGCTTCAAACTGTTGAAGCGGAATTTCGTATATGCGGTGTTGTAGATGACGAGCAAAAATATTATAGCGTGCTTTCGGCACTCAACGAGCAAGTCATCATCCGAATTCCGCACGTCATTGAAAACCCACCGAATGAAAAGAAGTGGCCATCATTCAAAGCCGCCTTTTGAAAGAATTCACTGATAGCCAACTGGAAAAATACGAACAAGTGTTGAGGGGTCTATCCCTAGGAGACGAGAAGCCTAGTTGGCTCTGGAGTCGTATGAAACAATTAGCACCTAGCTTCCCGGAAGATTTTGCAAAAAAACTATGGCTTGAACGCCTTCCCGAGCAGCTGCCAATTCCTTTGTTGGCTTTCGAGGATGGAAAATCAATCAACGAGCTAGTTAACGGAGCAGATAAAATTATGGAAGGCACACGACATTACGGAGCTGCAGACCATAAGCCACGCATCAGTGCTATTGGAGGAAAATCAGAACCTGGACGCTCCCGCTCGCGATCAGCAGACCGTTCCCTCAGTACACGCTTAGGACGCTCCCGCTCACGATCAGCAGACCGTTCCCTCAGTACACGCTTAGACCAACAAGCCAACAAAATTGATAAACTGTTTGACATGATCGAAAGGTTAGTGACAAGTGGTGGTCGTAACACCGATCAAGGCCGAAGTGGATACTATCAAAAACGTAGAGAGTCTCGGACACGAAGCCGTGACGCGACTCCAGTGAGTCCTCGAAACGGTGAGTCAAATAATTATGACGGCTATTGCTTTTATCATTGGAGATTCGGCGATCTGGCGAAAAACGGCCGCGAAAACTGCACTTATCCAAAAGTTACAAAAAACGAGTAGTGGGGGTGCAGGAAACTACACCCCCAACCATCACCTGCTTTTCATCGAAACGTCTGTTCGTTTACGACCCACAAACACACAAGTCGTTTCTTGTGGACACTGGGGCGGATTTGTCACTGTTTCCTTCATCGAACGGTGATTCGGTGTCGGGCTCTTTCGCCAAAATATGAAAATAAACTCATGCAGTTTTTAGACAACATGCTTTCAAAAAAATTATCGGTAATTTTGATGCACTTGTGCAATTACCTACGATAAGACGGCGCCGATTCCTGTATCACGAAAATTTATATACTACCATAGTGCAACAAATCTACACAATGATACTACAGACGAGCATGAGAAACTATTCCAAATATCGGCGGGTAATGATACCCACCTCTCCAGGCGTGATTCCTAGCAGCTTCGGTTGCCTCGTTACTCTGCCGATCAGATGTTAGGTAAGAAAACTCAACCTTGTTTCAATACATATAATAAATAAGCAAATAGGTAGCTAAAATCAGATGCTGCATGGGTACATAACCAACAACAAAGCAAAACTGCGGCAACAATAAAATATTCGTTAACCGGTAAGTATATAAGATTATAACAATAATAAACAGACAACGTACCTACTGTACAGATCACATAGGCGTGCTGATATGCTTGATAAGTATGGCCATACCCTTAACAAAAGTACTTACGGGTTTGAACTTACAGGGAGTAATGTAGTCGCAGTCGAGCTTGCCTTGGTAAGTTATTTGAGTATTTTATTTATCCTATTGAAGTAGCTTCTGAGACGGTTGTACAGTTCCAGATGGCCATTCAGCCCACTAGATGGCGTGGACCAGGCGACACCACTTCCTAATACGGGGTGACGATAAAAGCTGGTAGGCGGTGTACAATTAACACCCACCAATCGCAGGTAAACAATCTTCAACAATCACAGCCAAGCCAAACATATGCATTCCATTTACCGATTCCCAGTTTGAAGGTAATTTATTAAATTAGACAAATAATACAAAAAAAAAACCTGTACAATTTTCGGAAATATCCCTACGTTGAACAATTTCAACCAATAAGCAGTGCAATACACGTACAGGGTTTTTTCCCCAATCCAGTCAGCCTCAGAACGTTAAGCGATAACAAAACCACACTAAAGGTGAAGAATTGCCCAACATAAACGTATCCACAATGATACACGGCAATACCAATTACTATCGCTTTTCGTAATTAACCCAGAAGACTGGAGTACTGACAAATTTCCAATAATTAATGATTTAACGATTTTCTCAAACGTGGGAGTGCCACAACGGTCGGTGATAAAAAAAAAGGATTTTCAACGTTATTATCGGTTTTGAAGATACCGGCTCTGACCTAAAGACCTCCCAAAAATTCCTCAGATAAACCAACATAGACGTTCCCTACATTGACAAACATGGCAGGCCGCTTACAACCCTTAAATTGATGACTGGATCCTATAATAAGTAACCTACTAACCTAGCAAAACAGTTGCTTGCGTAAAAACAGTAGCAAACGGGAACAAATGATTAACAACGAAATTCCTAATGTCTCCGCCACTGGAGATCAATAACTACAATCTACATTCACAAGTATACTATTCTCCGCTACATGCATGCATAACAAAACCTCTAACCGTACTTCATTATGTACAATTATATTTTTCTATTTGTGGGACTTGTTCAAAAATTTAACCGTTACAACTCTCCCCCAACAAAATGAAATTTTCCCAAAATTTCACCACTTATAAGTTAATCATACACCGGGACACACACTAACCTGACCTATAACGAATTCAAGCAATAACAACCAAAACCCCCCCACATGGATGCTGCACGAGCAAAACCTAACCCTCCCCCGACTGAACTATGGTGTCAGTCCCACCGAAAACCTAAGAAAAGACCCCAAGAAGAGAAAAGACCTACCCCTGGAGCTGATAGAGGATAGCACGCTCCCGAAACCCCACCCCATAGGATAGATAAACACGAACAGAGAGAAAAACGAAGGGCTTTGATGACCAAGCGAAACTTAACGCCCGAAAAGAAGGAAAGATTGGACGCCAGTTTCAAGGTGAACCTAACCCTTACGACCCTCCTACCACCCAAAAATTAATGATCAATTACCTACTCATCAGGCGGGTGCGATTTTAAATCTTTCGCATGCCAATTACCGATCGAAACGCCACGATCATTTGCTAATTCGTAGGTGCAGTACCCTACTTTACGCTTAATTCTAAAAGGACCAGAATATTTATTAGCTAACTTATTACTAAAATAGTTNGCATTGATAATATATTTATCAATTTTTCTATTGACAATTTCATTTCTAGTACCATAGACACTAACTTATCTGATCATTTGGGCCAAAGCATCACAGTTTTACCTGAAGCAGTGTCACTTAGTTCGCGATGTCTACAATTTCGGCCTATTACCAGTAAAGGGCGCCTCGCACTGTTTAATATGCTAACCAACTGTACTTTTAATTATTTGAATGATACGAAACTAGACATAAACACGAAATTCGATTTATTTTTTAACAATGTTTATGATGCTTTTAAAATCGCATTTCCTGAAAAAACAGTAAATCTTACAAAAACTAAAAGTAACACTTGTGTTAAATGGTTTACCGGCGAACTTCGAACCATGAGGAATAACTACCAATTGATTCACGAGTTACATCGTAAATATGGTACAATAAACTTATTAGTTGTAAAACGTAGATTGTACTCTGCGTATAAAAAAGCAATCAAGAATGCAAAAATCGCGGCCAATAACGATGCAATTAAAACATCATCTAATCCGATTGGAACAATGTGGAATATTGTAAATTTCCACAGGTATTCACAAAAACGTGTCTGCTCTAGTTTATCTGCTAATGATTTTAATGTGCATTTTGCAAACCACTCTGTAAATATTGTAAAAGATATCCCTTGTAACAATGTAGATCCTATTGCTATTTGTTCGGCTAAGGTTCCTGCAGATCTAAGGTTTAGTTTTAATTTAGTATCTCCTAGTGAAGTAAGAAATCTCATAACTTCTATAAAAAACAGTAATTCAAAAGATATCTTTGGGTTAAGTGCTGATCTTATCAAGTCTAACGTGAGTTTGTACACCCTACCACTTGTGAAACTTATAAATTACTCCTTTGAGGCAGGGGTGTTCCCGGATTTATTAAAAATAGCAGCTGTAGTGCCGATTCATAAAAAAGGAGATGTTAATGACGTTGTTAACTATAGACCAGTATCTATCTTACCTGTATTTTCGAAAATATTTGAAAAGGCTATATTTAAACAAATAGTAACTCATTTCGAAAACAATAATATTTTCTACTATAATCAATTCGGTTTTAGAACTGGAAGAAGCACCACTGATGCGATCTTGACCTTTATGCATAAAACCTTAGAATGTTTTGAAAATTCCGATTACCTCGTAGCTACCTTTCTGGACTTATCTTCCGCTTTTGATTGCGTCTCGCACAAAATTCTTCTTAATAAATTAAAACGTATATAATTTTGATAAAATAAGTGTGTCGCTCATTAATTCTTACTTGTCTGGTCGATCGCAGTGTGTACGTTTTAATAATGCGCTGTCACACAAATTACCCATTCAAAGAGGGGTTCCTCAAGGAAGTATTCTTGGGCCCCTATTATTTCTAATTTATGTGAATGACTTCCCCGCTTATGTTTCATTATATAATGACTGCATTTTGTATGCAGACGACATCACTCTTTTTAAACAGGGTAAATCTGTTCAGCAATTAAACGGTGAATCCGAGTATTTAGTGGATCTTGCAAATAAGTGGTGCATTGCAAATGAATTAAAAATCAATATTTCAAAAACACAACACTTAATTCTCTCCCTGAGAACACATAATCTTTTAACACCACGCTATGTCAAGTTCCTGGGACTCTGTATTGACAGCAAATTGAGTTTTAGTATGCATGTTGAACATGTTCAAGCAAAATTTAGCTGTAACTTATTTGTCCTACGTCGATTAGCAGATAATGTCTCAGCAAATGTCTTAAGACGCGCTTACTTCGCTTTGTGCCATTCTTTATTGACCTATGGTATTATAGTATGGGGAAGCTCTTCTTCCAG